ACAGTGGGAAAAACTTAAAGGTGTATGGCTTAATAATATCTAAGCCTACTTTGCTCTGGGTCAAGAGTGCAGAGGCCAAATGTAAGTAAAGTACAGATCTCCTCCCAAACAAACATTTCTCCCTGCTCCCACTACAATCTCCTCAGACCCCCTCCCCCTATGAGAAAACCATCTCCCCCTTCCTGAATTTTACTTACTGGACCTAGGCATAGTGTTGCTGGTGAGTTACACAGTCCACCATCTGCTCTTGATTCCATTCGCAGCACCCTGTACAGCTGCAGAAGGCATCAAAAACTTACAAGACATTGAGGAGTCTGTAGCATCAAAGTGGAGCATGCTGTCTCTCCGGCAACCCTCTTTCTCCCTTTATTCGGGCAATTACCAACACGCTCATGTGACAGGTCACATCCCAGGTTGTGTTTATTGGTCCACAAGTATAAAAAACGGTGACTGTAGGCGCCAGAGGTACACATCTTTTATACACACTAAAAGTAAATGCATGCATCAATAATCATGTAAAGTTTGTTGAAAAGTCCACATAACTGGTGTAAAATATCCAGGAGTCTAGCACTAGGGCAGCTCTCTTTGGGAGCAGAAGCAAGCTTTATAGAGAAGAAACAATAGCAAAGAAAAAAGTAGCGCCTCTAATTGCAGACAGTTTAAAACTCTTTTAATGCAAATAAAAGGTGCATATTGGCCATAAGAATAACAGGCTCATCATAGACAGTGAGTTGGACACTCTGCAAGATGGCGCTGGTGTGCACACGTGAACTGCAAGCAAGCGGGATGAGGTCACTGGAGCTGTGTGCAACACGTTTCTGAGCATGCTCAAAGCCCAGACTGAGCATGCACGCTCTTTCATTAAGCTGAAGATACAGGATTGATAAGCTTCAATTTATAGCGCTGGGCTCTCATGGGACTATTACAACACTGCTGTCATGTACCTGGTTTGGGAGCCTGACGTGGAGAGGAGGCATCCTCTTACTACTCCCGCTCGGAGCCCCTGATAGTGGGAACAGAGGGCGCGGAGCCAGGAGTGCACGAGTGCCGGGTGGGTCTGGAGTTGATGATAGGCAGGTGAAGACCCAGGAGATCTGGATGCAGGCCAGGTGCGGATGCAGGAACGTGGGTACAGCAGCAGGTAGGTATGGCTGCAACCAGGATGCAGACCGGGAACAGACACAGGAGCGTAGATGCGGGATCCCTGACAACTACAATAAATTATATAAAAATTATATATGAAAGCAGCTACTATTAATAGTGCGGATATGTGAACTACATTATGAAATACATTATTGGAATGTGTAGTATAGTAAATAAGTTACATATGACATTATATCACACACATAGTACATGCATTAGTTCATAATTAATAAAAGCATATTAAAATTCTTACATGTCGAGAAAATATCTCTATGTAAATGTATAAAAATCAATAAGAATTTATATATAAATTGTATTAAATAATGAAAAATAATAATAAATGAATGAATATTAATATGTAAAATTGCACAGTGCTCAGCATAAATTAGTAAACCCCAACAGATTTGTCAGAAAACTTTTACCCTTGTTTCAGAATCAACATTTTCTATTGGACACTATACTACAAAATAATCCCACAAATGCGGGCCATTGATTGAAAACAAGATTTGTTAATTTGCACACACAAAAAAGTATTTTTCCTAACAAATTCTTTTAAGACCATGTTGCAAAAATTAATACACCCCAATGAAAGTCCTAGAAAAAAAGCTAGATTTTGGACAACAAAATCCTAATTAACATAAATTCACCTACAGGTAAGTCTAATTATTCATTAAACAGGTGACCAGCAGACAATTGATTATGAAAGGGTGTTACTTAACAAAGAAAACCCCTTCCCATTTTATGCTGTCAACAATAGCACTACATGGATGAGAAATGTCACAAGGCTTGAGAAAGAAAATCATTTCTTTACACAAGAGAGGTGAAGGCTACAAGAAGATTGGCAAAGCTTTACTTATCAGTCAATATACTGTAGCAAAAGTGATACAAAAATTTACCAAAGATTGAACTGCAACCATCTCACAGAGACATCCAGGCCATCCACAGAAGTTAACACCTTGACAAGAGCGTCTTCTGATGAGAAGGGTTGAAAAAAAAATCATGCAAGTTCACTGCAGTTAGCTATAGAAGTAGAAAGCCAAACTGGAGTGATTGTTTCCCCTGGCACAATACAGCATACACTGCAAAGGAATGGCATGCATGGGTGTCGTCCACGAAGGAAACCTCTCCTTAAGCCCATACAGAAAAAAGCCAGCCTAGAATTTGCCAGTGGCTCATGCTGAAAAAGAAGACTGGTACTGATGAGACCAAGATAAATGTTTTTGGAATTGATGACTTGAAAACTGTTTGGCGTAGCAAAGGTGAGGAGTACAAAGAAAAATGCATGGTGCCTACAGTGAAACACGGTAGTGGCAGTGTCCTTCTGTGGGGCTGCATGAGTGCTGCTGGTGTTGGGGAACTGCATTTCATTGAAGGTATCATGAATTTACAGAATTGCTACTCTATATTGAAAGAAAAGATGCTACCATCACTCCATGCCCTTGGTCGTTGTTCACTTTCCAACATTACAATAATCCAAAACACACATCCAAGGCCACTCTTGCATTTCTGAAGAACTGGGTGAAAGTGATTCAGTGGCCAATTATGTCTCCAGATCTGAAAACAATCAAACACCTATGAGGAATTCAGAAGAGACAAGTTGAGCATCACTCTCCATCCAGCATCCAGGCTCTAAAAGAGGTCTTTCTTGAACAATGGAAAAAGATAGATGTTGCAATATGTCAACAACTTGTTCATTCCATGCCTAGAAAACATGGCGCTGTCCTTACAAATCATGGAGGTCATACAGAATTCTAGATGTAGTAGTTTTTGTTGTGGGGTGTATTCATTTTTGCATCAACTAATTTGAGTAAAAGTGAAGATTTTGTAATCTGAGTTATATTATTAACCTTACTTTCATGTAATGAGCTAAACAAATGTTCTATAAAACTCAGTTTTGTCAAAATGTTGGAAATTGTTCTTGTGTTCATTGAGATATTGATTAAAATCTTACTTTTTAAAAGGGGCGCACTCATTTATGCTGAGTACTGTAATTTCATGGAAATGGTTGACTTCATATTGGTTCTTTTAAGGCATGGAGAATGCATAAAAAAACACACCCAATACAGTATATATTAACCGCTTCCCGACCGCCCTATAGCAGATATACTGATACAGGGTGGCACGGGTGCACAAAATCACGTATATATATACAGTTGTGTTCAAAATAATAGCAGTGTCTTGAAAAAAGTGAATAAAGCTCAAAATCCTTCTAATAGATTTTATTTCCATACACACAAATGCATTGGGAACACTACACATTCTATTCCAAATCAAAACATGAAGAAAAATATATCAAATTTGTGTTGTTCCTCTAAAACAATAGAAGAAAAGTGAATATTAGACTGTTCAAAAAAATAGCAGTGTTTGTATTCTTCTTTACAAACTCAAACATTCACTATATAAACTAAAAAATGTTTGAAGATTTTGCTTTCCTTTGAATCACTTAATTAATATTTAGTTGTATAACCACTGTTTCTGAGAACTGCTGTACATCTGTGTTGCATGGAGTCAACCAGCTTCTGCCACCTGTGAACAGGTATTCCAGCCCAGGATGATTGGACTACATTCCACAGTTCTTCTCTATTTCTTGGTTTTGTCTCAGAAACTGCATTTTTAATGTCACCCCACAAGTTTTCTATTGGATTAAGATCCGGGGATTGGGCTGGCCACTCCACAACGTCAATCTTGTTGGTCTGGAACCAAGATGTTGCACGTTTACTGGTTGTTTGGGGTCGTTGTCTTGTTGGAAAACCCATTTCAAGGGCATTTCCTCTTCAGCATACGGCAACATGACCTCTTCAAGTATTCTGATGTATTCAAACTGACCCATGATCCCTGGTATGCGATAAATAGGCCCAACACCGTAGTATGAGAAACTTCCCCATATCATGATGCTTGCGCAACCATGCTTCACTGTCTTTACAGTGTACTGTGGCTTGAATTCAGTGTTTGGGGGTCATCTGACAAACTGTCTCTGGCCACTAGACCCAAAAAGAGCAATCTTACTTTCATCAATCCACAAAATGTTGCGCCATTTCTCTATAGGCCAGTCAATGTGCTTTTTGGCAAATTGTAACCTCTTCAGCACATGTCTTTTTTTCAACAGTGGGACTTTGCGGGGGCTTCTTGCAGATAGCTTGGCTTCACATAGGCGTCATCTAATTGTAACAGTACTGACAGGTAACTTTAGACCTTCTTTGATCTTCCTGGAGCTGATTGTTGGCTGAGTCCTTGCCATTTTGGCTATTCTTCTATCCATTCAAATGGTAGTTTTTCACTTTCTTCCACGTCTTTCAGGTTTTGGTTGCCATTTTAAAGCATTTGCGATCATTTTAGCTGAGCAGCCTATCATTTTCTGCACTTTATTATATGTTTTCCCCTCTCCAATCAACTTTTTAATCAAGGTACGCTGTTCTTCTGAACAATATCTGGAACAACCCATTTTCCTCAGAATTTCAGAGAAAAATGCCCTGTAACCAGCATGTACAACATTTGCTGCCTTCCTTCCTTAAATAAGGGCAATAATTGCCACCTGTTTTTCAAAGAATGAATGACCTCACTAATAGAACTCCACACTGCTATTATTTTGAACATGCCCCTTTCAATTAGTGATTCAATTACACAGAATCAGCAGCATGCATGTCATGACTGTTGGGTCTGTTGGATTTCTATTACTCTACTACACCTGCTAGTAGATTATTTGCCATGTAGAAATATAATTTCTACCAAAAACAGTGATTGATCAGGTTAGTGATGTCTGACTGCTATTATTTTGAACACAACTGTACATGATTTTGCATTTCCGGGTAGGGAGCGCCCAGTACTCGCCGATGCCCGGTGATTGCCGAGCATCTCTGATGGGGAGGAGAACTCTCTGTAAACAAAACAGTTCTCCTCCCTGTCAGCTTGTGCACACTGCTTTGGATGGCTGTGCATAGCCCAGCCATGCAAAGCATTGTGAATACAGTGAAACACAAACACATGGCCCCATAGTAAAACTGTCAAGGTCCTACCTTTCCTCAGGGCTTGTGCTGCTCCATGTGCTAGCATCCATCTTAGGTGTCTGCAAAGCATTGTGGGATCCTTTATGCTTTCAGCCCTCTGCGGCTCCTCCCCCAGGAGGTGGCGGCTTATCACATATAAGTCTGCTGTTTGTAGCTGTCCATTGCATTCGTGTCCTGTCTGTTGCACAGCAGCAAGCTCCTGTTTAGTTTCTCATTGCTCTCCTGGATACCGACTTGGCTTTGGCAAGACTCCTTCCTGGCTTTTGACCCCGGCTCTGGCGACCATCCTTCCTGGCTTCTGACCCCGGCTCTGACGACCATCCTTCCTGGCTACTGTCCTATCAAGTCATCTGCTGTTGCTGTTGGACTTGCATAGACTCTGTCTTGTTTTTGTATAATAAACCTACCTTTAATTGCACCTCCTTGTGTGTCTGGCTCCTCGCTCCCTGACAAAAACACACCCAGCACTCAGTTAACCCTTTGATCGCCCCTCTTGTTAACCCCTTCCTGCCCAGTGCCATTAGTACAGTGTTAGTGCTTTTTTTTAGCACTGATCACTGTATTGGTGTCACTGGGGATGTCAGTGACACCAAGTCAGTTCCCCCCAGTGTCAGAATGTCTGCCGCAGTCCCGCTATAAGTCGCTGATAGCCGCCATTACTAGTAAAAATAAAAATTCCAGTATCTCTACCTCCATTTGTAAATGCTATAACTTTCACGTAAACCAATTAATTTACACGTATTGGGATTTTGTTTTAGCAAAGACATATAGCAGAATACATTTTGGCCTAAATTTATGACAAAATTAGATTTTTTTATTTTTTAACTGGACATTTTTAATAGCAAAAAGTCAAAAATAATGTTTTTTTCTCAAAATTGTCAGTCTTTTTTTTATATAACACAAAAAATGAAAAACCCACAGGCGATCAAATACCACCAAAAGAAAGCTCAATTTGTGGGAAAAAAAGGACGTAAATTTAATTTGGGTGCAGCATTGCATGACCGTGCAATTGTCAGCTAAAATAACGCAGCGCCGTAACACAAAAAATGGCCTAGTCAGGAAGGGGGGTAAATCCTCAGGAGGGCAAGTGGCTAAGATTGATATGGGATCAATGATCGATCAATCACCACAAAAAGTATAGGGAAGCAAATAAGAATATAGAGTCAATGGAACTCATTGTTTATATAGTTTATAAATATATCTCCTAAAGTTTCCCTCTGGCAGAGTCTATGAAAGCGCTCAGCCTCGGGGAGTACCTTGGGCATTCCTTCTATCACCCATATCCTTAGACCTTGGGTCGATTTTTGGTAGAATTCATGAAAATTACCGTGGGTCGATTTTTTTGGTGGAATTCAAGAAAATGGTGGGGTACACTGTGCTTATCCTTGCCATCTTCTATGAGACGGCAAGGCGGCATTGCGTATACACAATAGTTTAATGGTGCGGCCTACATATAAGAGTCCGTAGGGACAGGTAAGACCATAAACAACAAATTGTGATGAACAGTTATAAATGTCAATGTTTTAGCTTTTGCCGCGAACTCTTGTTGCCCATGTTCTACAAAGGAGCAAGTTTTACAGAGGGTCTTTCAAAATTGGAACATGCCTGTCGCAGGTAGTAAATAAAATTGGTTACCATGTTTGTCAGAAACAGAAGATTTGAGTTTGCTGGGGGCAATTTGGTGCTTTTCTGGAAGTTAATTTAGACATTTTTTGAGTAATGGAATATAAACGAGGGCCCTGCTGTAGAATTCACCAGTGTTTAGATAGAATTCGTTCCATTTTTTGGTACTGGTCGTGAAAATGGGTACTGAACCTGACTGGACAGTTATGCTCTTTAATATCAGATTTGAGAAGTTTTCCATTTAAATGAAAATTATAGGCTTGGTCTACCAATGGTTCAGGATAGCCTTTATCTAAAAATGTGTCTTTTAACATTGTCTCAAATGACAGAACTGTCCTTTAGGTATGTTCTTAATCCACTGAGGTAGATGGCAACTGTTGTAATGTAAAGATGAATTACCAGCAGTTGGTTTGGTATAGTTTCTGACATAGATCTTGTTATTTGCATGACCCATCTCTAAATCTAAAAAAGCTAAGTTGTTGGAATCTTGGACAGGGTGAAAGACAGTCCAAATGGGTTATTGTTACAATAGGATACAAAATCGCCAACAAATGAAGCAGAACCATCCCAAATAATAATAAAATCATCAATGTAACGACCGTAAAATATTATGTTAGCAAGAAAAGGGTTCTTTTGCCAAATATGCAGAGATTCCCAGTATGCCATTGTAAATTAGCATATGAGGACGCAGAATCTTTTATCATAGCATTACGTTTAATCTGTAAATAATATTCATCATCAAAAAATAAAATATCAGCAATAGGAATGCGCTAAATATATATCAAAAAATTAACATCATAAATATATGTGTAAAAAAAAAGTCCAAACATAAAAAACTTTTTAGTGAAAATAATCCATAAATTTCGTGTATATAAGTGTACAAAAGAAAGTCCAACACCACAAAAAACAGAAAATTTTCTTCTTTAAACATATAATTCCACCGTGCTTTATCCACCACCAAATGAATGGAATGAACTCACCAGAGCTCAATGCTGATTAGATTATAAATCAGCACAAGCGCGTTTGCTCTGGGAGCGATGAGTAAGTAGATCATGAAGTAGCACTCTATAGTCTAGACACTTCCAGATAGCAGGAACAATACTCTGCAGTGATTTTGAGGTATAGCCCAGACTCCTTATACAACGATCATCCTCCAATTGTATAGTAAAATCACTCAAAAATAAAGAAAAGGCATGATGGTGCAGCAAGTAAGAACCATTTAAAACTTTTATTTCAATTGCATCCTACTCACAAAATGAAGTGTCCACCTGACACTGGTATAGCAAGCGATCAAGTATACGGAATGGACGAGCCCCGTTCACCGCGGACACCTCGCCGACAGCTCCAGGGAACGTCCTGACGTCATCCAATAAGCTCCGCCCTACGCGTTTCGTCACTCTGACGTCCTCACGGACGTCAGAGTGACGAAACGCGTAGGGCGGAGCTTATTGGATGACGTCAGGACGTTCCCTGGAGCTGTCGGCGAGGTGTCCGCGGTGAACGGGGCTCGTCCATTCCGTATACTTGATCGCTTGCTATACCAGTGTCAGGTGGACACTTCATTTTGTGAGTAGGATGCAATTGAAATAAAAGTTTTAAATGGTTCTTACTTGCTGCACCATCATGCCTTTTCTTTATTTTTGAGTGATTTTACTATACAATTGGAGGATGATCGTTGTATAAGGAGTCTGGGCTATACCTCAAAATCACTGCAGAGTATTGTTCCTGCTATCTGGAAGTGTCTAGACTATAGAGTGCTACTTCATGATCTACTTACTCATCGCTCCCAGAGCAAACGCGCTTGTGCTGATTTATAATCTAATCAGCATTGAGCTCTGGTGAGTTCATTCCATTCATTTGGTGGTGGATAAAGCACGGTGGAATTATATGTTTAAAGAAGAAAATTTTCTGTTTTTTGTGGTGTTGGACTTTCTTTTGTACACTTATATACACGAAATTTATGGATTATTTTCACTAAAAAGTTTTTTATGTTTGGACTTTTTTACACATATATTTATGATGTTAATTTTGATATATATTTAGCGCATTCCTATTGCTGATTTTTTACATTTTACCAATAATTTGGGTTAAAGGTTTGCTGCTGGAGAGGATTGATATTGTTGATTGGCGCTTTCTTTTTTTGTTTTTCTCAAAAATAAAATAGTTGTAATTTCTAAGATAAACTTGACTTGTCTAGCATTAGATAATGGATTGGAAAAAAGAAAATATTGGAGGGCAGAGATACCAACTTCATGTGGAATCGATGTGTTTAAAGAGTTAACGTCTAAGGATATCCAAAGATAGCCCTCTTCCCAAGAATAAGGGGAATATAAGATGTACCATCTTATATTTGTGATATACACTTATTGGAAATCCTTTCCCCTTACTCTTGGCCTGTCTCAGACCCGGAACACAATAGAGTCTGCTGGAGCGGCGTTCAGCCATTCAGAGTAAGCGATGTATTCTATCAATGAATGCAAAGCTTCCTCTAATTGACTGATTCAGAGGTTGTGACATCATCAACCTGCCTCTCTGACAGTACTGTATGCTGTATGTAGCCTCTGTTACATACAGTTTATACAGCACATGCAGTTGCCTCAGATGTTAGTGAGGGACATAGTTCGTTTGGGCCGGTTTGGCCCAAATGAACTATGTAAAGTGGAACAAAAGATGGAGTTCTATCAGGTACCTGGTGATGGAGGCCAATAGAGAGAGGGCTTCCCTTGCGGCTAAGTTTCAGACTCCCCTGAGAGTAGGACAGCGGGAGTCAGGCCCAAAGTGTCACAGATCGCCTGTAGGAGTGCTTGTTGGTGGTCCACCCAGGAGCACAGCTGATGCAAGGAGATGAGGTCTACAGACAGATGGCGCCTGTGCGAGGTATGCAAGCCCTTCCAGGAATAGAGGATTACTGGATAGCCGGTTCAAGCCAAGGTCAGGTACCAGATGGGAATCAGAGCAGATGTATTCAGATGGGATAGCCGAGGTCATACACAGAGGAGCGAGAGAGAGAGAGAGTATCCTTTAACCAAGCCGAGGTCATACACAGGGGAGCAAGAGAGAGAGTATCATTTAGCCAAGCCGAGGTCAGATCAGGGGTTAAGTAGAGTAGACAGGTCCAAGAGCAAGCCAAGTCAGTATCAGGAAGTCACAGGATACAGGAACAAGGTATGGGGAGCTAGAGATCATCCGGCAACTTGAGGAAGTGATGAGCCTCCTCCTTATAAAGGTCGTCTGGCACCAAACTGAGGCTGATGCGTGCTTCTGCGGCTATGCAGGGTACTGGCAGAAGTGCCAGATCTTCCAAAACTTCTGCCGTGGACAGGACCCTGACAAGTTCAGCTTTAACTACTTTGACAATATGAAAGGCGAGGTGATTGATGGACGCTATGTGTCACCTCTCATGCGTTCATATCTGGGAGACTAAGGTGGAGTCCAGTCCGTGTTTTCCGGCTACTTAGGCAGAGTTGGTTCCAGACCAGATTTTGCAGTCCACTGATGACCACCAGCAGGTGGTATGAATAAAGCAAGACTAGAGCAAGAAGTTGCTCTTGGTCTGGGACTCAGGGAGACATACCTGAGAGAGCTGCGGACGAAAGAGTTTGCTTTGTACAAGAAAGGAAAGGGTTTGCACACATTTTGTTTTGTTGGTGACAGGGAGAAGCCCTTCACCTGTGAGATAGGAATCTCCTCTGATTAGTTAGTTTCTGGATGGCGAGGGTTTATTTTCTGTTCTGTTCTGTTTATGATGCATGCAACCTTTTAAATAAAACTGGCTACAAGTCAGATTTCTAAGAAAGACCTGCCATCTGGACTTCCTTTTTCCCAGGGAAGGTGATCCCCCACCTGAGCTAACCCCCACACCACTGACTTTGAACAAGTATGCTGGATGGGACTTGAAACTTTTCAGACCTCGCTGGCTGCATGCTTTAATCAGGTCAATGATTCTTAAAGGCAGAATTTCACCCAAAAAGTAAAGTATTGCTGGTTCGCTCCCTCCCCCAGCCTGCAAACTACTCAGTGCTCCCACTTCTCCAATCCTTGTCTATATACAGATTATACCACTTGGCCATCT